TTCATGTTTTACAACAGTAGCCATCATTCAGGTCTCTATACACTTTCTGTGCTCAGGAGTTAGGCTAGCCAAGTCCCTGGGATATTCACAAGGGCACACCTTTGGTTTTACATCCCACTCAAAAGCACTCAGTGTGTTTGCAGTAAACATCTAACTTTTGGGAGGTTGTGGTACTAATATTTTGCAACCTCACTTCTAGTTAAAATTAGAACTTTCCTAAGCCAATTTTCCCTTAATTATTTTCCTTCATTTGCCTTCTTCCCCAAACCAAGAGAAATTAGGCTCCAAGTTGCTATAGCAGACATCCTTGAGATAGCCTTACCCTGCTCAGCTAAGAGGGAATTAAATTCAAACAGATCAAGAGAGACTACTGACCCCTACGCATCCTTCAGTCTTGGTTGCTGCTATGTTTTTTTTTCTGACACACTGATTGCTTTCAGGAATCATACTGCAGATCCATACTGCTGAGCGCTGCAACACAGTGAAATAATTCATTGAATACCCTCTTAAGTAAACCAGAATGAAGTGCAAGTATGGTAACTTCACTGATCCCTGGCACTGAGACTGGACAGAAAAGGATGGCTTACTTTGAGTAAGAAGGCAGTTTGGTGAAGGAAGGAGGACAATTTTATGATGCAATTTTGTGCAGTAACAACTGGTGCCTTCAAGCATCTGCAAAAGAAAGACAGCTGTAGCACAAATCTACATGTTAGCTCTTGCATAGCTAATCTAAATGACAGCAGAGGAGCGGGGCTGTCCTAAGACAACTCTCATCTTGAATTTTCGCTGTTTGTTTAAGAACCTAGGCAGATCAAAGCATATAAACACCTACTATCTATTTAGTCTGAAAGGGTCTCTAAGAGGTACCCCTACAAGAACATTCCTAGCACAGCTGCAAACCTAAGGGACCCCATACTACTACAAAGGGAACAGAAGCGATTAAGTCAGTGCCTGAGCCTTTGACAACGGTGGAGTCATTATACTGAAGGCCCCCGAGGAAACAAGCCGAAAGGACAGGCAAGGACAAAAATACTCACCAGGGTCCCAGGCTACTCTGGGGTAAATTCCTTTCTGAATTTAAGTCTGGTGAATGGCTTAACCCCGCATATCTGAAAGCAGGGCAGGCAGGGGGACTTAATGCTATTAGCCAGACCATCACCTCCCAGCTTTAGCTGTGGCCAGTCTCCAACACTATGAAAGAAAGTAACTAAAATCCCTAGATACCAGTTTAAATGTCAAGGGGCATTTAATCCCTTCACATTTTCAAATTTTATGAATAACTAACAAGCTCTGAGTTACCTGCGGTATAAAGTGAATATAATAACAGAAGGAAAATGAAACATTAGGTTTGCTGTCTTAACTAAAAGAATAATTGCAAACTCATCTGGCAATCATAGCCAGAGAAATTCAAATCACCCTCACCAAAATGTCATCACAGAGACCTTGGAATCTTACAAGGATTAGCTTGCCTCTTCCAATAGCCACACCACATCCCATTGCAAGTTACTTTGGCTTCAATGTCCAGAAACTAGCATCCAAAAAGTCTTATTTCTTTACATTCACCAAAAGATATTTTGATAATGGAAATTCTACATGCAATCACAAAGCCATTTGTTTACTTACACTGTAAAGATTACTCTGTGCTTCTGTGCAAGAGCCTGTTTGTAAAAAAAAAAAAAAAAAAAAAAAAAAGGTGCAATAATTGAGGGGCAGGTTCCTTTCTAAGCTAATTTCCATGCCCATTTCTATTTCAGGTCTTTATTGTTGGTAAACAAAGTATTAGCTTTAAGACATCAAGAAAAAGCTCAGCTAAAAGCTTCACCATACATTCATCTCAGCATGATTTCTGTTGGTCTGGGGCTTGGTTTCAGTAGAAGCCTTAGGGCCAAGCAACAGGCCTGAGAATATCTAAAAGTCAAATACGGAGTTTTGCCTGTTTCATTTGCATCCACAGAATATAAGCATGATTTTGTAAAAGCAATATTATAAGGCTTTTCCTGCCACTTCAGAGGTTCCTGGACTCAAAGCTACAATCCAGTGTAGTCTATTCCTTTGTTAAGTCTTTCCTCAACACAAAATTAATGCCATCTCCTTATCCACACCTTCTTTCTACCCATTCTGTTACCCAGACTGTCTGACAAACGTGTTCACTCCACAGTAAAATGACTGAGTTACTAATTTAGAGCTCCTGATGAGAGACAGTAAAACCCACAAGTAATAAACAAAGTATGAGAAATAACTACTGTTGTAAATAGTTACCACAAGGCAGCAGCTAAGGGACAATGAAATACAAAAGAACACTGCCTACCTGACTGTTTAAGGCCCATGAAATAATTGATATATAATTATGGAAGAGCAGGCAATGAAAAGTCTAACAATTATCTCACAGCTGAAGCAATCCATAAACACATTTTAAAGTACCCATCCATAGCTGGCAAAGCTTCTCTTTACATCTTCCTCCATTCTTTGATTTCCATATCCTTTGCTGAATATTCGTGTAGGTAAGCACACTGAAATATAAATTCACCTAGAATTATACTCCACCTGCAGAGACAAACCTGTAACCCACCTTTTTCCACTGACCTCTTCCACTATTGCCCATATATCTATGTAAGAAAAAAATAGAAAATACGAAATGTCTGTCTGTACAGGGAGAGACTACACTTGACATACACCCAGTGATGCAGACACCCCAAGGCCACCTCAACAACCTTACAGGGGGCTTCCTGGCTTAGGAAAACCTCTAGAAAACCACTCACCCTGAATGACACAGGAACAGACTGTTATGTTGCAAATCACAAATGCTTTACTTTCCTTCTAGAGCACCTATATAAGGCAAGAACTGCCTACACAAGCAGCACTGATTGCCTAGGCCCACTAAAATAACTACATTGCTACAACTCCAGCAGAGTGGAAAATGGCTGCTTTGTAGTCTGGGAGCATCCGAATTACGGGGGTGGCAGCACTTAGCCAGGGAGGAGTCTCCCATTTCTGTCAGAGGATGTTTTTTTATTCCTTCATTGAAGGCTGTTGCAGGACTGGTGTGTGTAGGAGCAGCTGCTCTTACAGGAGTCAGTAATTCAAAAAAGCAGAGCAATATCTGAGGGAGGATTGGGATTTTTACATGGCTTTGCTAAGGCCTGACTTCTTCAGGCAAGAGCAAGTTGTAAGAGAAATTTGAAATAAACTGTTGTTTAGTCTAGAAAAGGCTGCAAACAAATGTGATCTGAGTTTGTAACTCAAAAGACCTGCTAGAAAGAGCTTCCTTTTATCAAATTACTGCAGAAGGGCCTAATAGCAGTGGCTTGCATTTGCTAGAAAGGTGATGCAGGCTGGCTGTTAGGGAGGGGCTCCCAGCAGTAACTGAAGCATTGAGGTAAGTCTCTCAGGGAGGAGGCAGGCTCTCTTTTGTTCCTAGGCACATTTCACGGAAGGGGGACCAGGGTTGTTTAAGCTCAGCAGATCCTGCCCTGGGGACAGAGGTAGACTTTAAGCTCCTATTTTTTTTTTCTTGATGGAAAAAATTATGTTACATCCTCAAGGCAGCAGAATATTGCGGCTAGCATCAAGTATCAGAGCACATGTATCACACAACTAAAAATAATTTTACAGTCTCATTTTTGTCAGCGTCCCTCCATCCATGCTAGGTACTATGTTTAGATATTGCAGTAAAATATACTTCTACCACTCCCACAGTGATGATCCACATGAAACAACATTAAGCACAAATTAGCTCTTAAATTTCTCCAGGGAAACTTCACTGATATTCTAAAAACAAGACAAATATGCAAAGGCCTGTTGCAGGAGCATATCTCAATCTGTCTTTGGGCTCTTGGTGATACTTATCCATCCCTAGAAAAAATTAATGTAGCAGACACTACAATGATACTGCACAGTCAATTCCTTTGCAAAGGATTTCCAAACCTTGTATTAAATCATTGCAAAGGTATGAAAATCCCCTGCAAGTAATCAACTGTGTAATGAATGGCAACGCTTTATTGCATGAAGCTGTATGAACACAAGTGAGATGATCCAGTGGCAGAAGGACCAGGGCTGTGGCCAAAAGTTGCAGGAGTGTGATTCTGTCAGTGAACTAGAGAGATGCCCCATGTCTCCTCAAACTGCCTCCTCCCTGCTTTGGAGTCTGACACAACTTCCAGCCTCACTTTCCAGGGAAGCAGGACACAAGGGAAACCCATTTTCCAGGGAGTGCCCTGCGAGCGATGCCAAGAAGATGCTGTTATTGAAGGAGCAGGAGGAAAATCCTTCACAGGAATGTGGTGCCTCAGCTGTGTCGGCACAGGCCGGTGTGCTCAGGCAGGGCCACTCGCAAGCTGAGGGATCCCTTTTTGCATTTCTCCTTTGGAAATCTAACTTTTTTGATGAAATCTAACTTTGGTTCGTTAGTCTTATGCAAACTCTGCATACAAGGGTCATCATGGAAATACTTAAGGGGGCTGGTGTATAGGTATATCCATGCTCCGCAGGCTGTTCTGGTAGGCCTCTCTGGAGCATACGTAAAACATGGGTATGTGCTTGGTAACCTCTGTTACTTATGGAGCAAAGCAGTGCGGACGTTTCCTGAGCTCCTCAGGATGGGGATGCTGATTCTTTACGGGCACGCTCCTGGCGCGGCCGAGAGGCGCAGGCGGGGCAGGGACCGCCGGCCCTGCGGGTGGGTGAGGCGCCGCAGGCTGCGGATCGCCTCCCGCCACCCCGCTTCTCCTCGCCGGGGCTCCGCCGCTGCCTCCGCCCGGCTACCCCGGGCGGGCGCTGCCCCTGCCCGCTGCCAAGATGGCGCCCGCGGCTTCCCCGCCCCTCGGCGGCGGCCGGGGGCGTGTGCGGGAGCGCGGGCGGGGCGGGCGATGTGGCGAGGCTCGGCCCCGCCTGCCCGGCCGCCACTCGCCGCGGCCCGGGTAGGCTGCGGGAGAGGCCGCGGGAGCGCGGCGGGAGCTGGGGGAGGCCGGGCGCGGTAGGTGGCGGCGCGGGGCGGCCGGTCCCGGCCGGGAGCGGGCGGCGGCGCAGCGCGGGGCTCCACCCGCGCCCCGCGGCTCTCCCGTCAGCCGCTGGCCTGCGGGGCCCGCCGGGGTCCGGAGCGGCCGCGGAGCCCGGGGCCGGGGCAGAAGGGCGGTGGCAGCGGCTGTCACTGCCGGGCCGGGAGCGGCGGTACCCGGAGCTCCGGCGGCCCCGCTCGGCAGCCCTGCGGCTTCCCCCCCTTCAAAAGCGAGAAGGCGCCACGAACACTCATCGGCAGACGTCTCCGTCACCGGGAATAGTGTCAGAGAGCAAAGCGCTGCGACCTGCCGCCGCCCGAGTCCCCAGGCTGTCTGTGGGCTTTAAGTGCGGATTTGTTTCCTCCCTCCACCAAAGGCCTGAAGGGTATGTTTTCACTTTCAGAGATTAAAACCCAAGCGGCGCTGGCGAAGGACGGACATGCTTGACACTTGTTTGCAGTTGCTTGTGTTGCACTTCGTTGTCTACTCGAGAAGGAGAGACTGAGACCCTGTTACTTGGCTTCTCGGGTCATGATATAACTAATAATAAAGCAAAACTGTGGAAAGGGCACCTGGGAACTAGCATGGTAGGATCTTGAAGAGAAAAGTAGCGGTGATCGACGGGAAGAGGAAGGGGAGGAATGGCATCCCGAGAGAGGCTGTATGAGCTTTGGATGCTTTACTGCAATAAGGTAAATATTTGTGTTTGTTTGCTTTTATCTTCTCTTGTTTGGTAGTTGGGTATTTAGATTGTAACAGCCTTTTTCTTGGAAATTTTATAGACATTATTATCTTCTGAAAGGATGTAATTGCACTTCTTGGACTATTTACAGCCTCATCCCATGGTTTGCTGTTCAAGTTGGTCTTTTTTATGCTTGAGATGAGAATTGCAGTGTTCGTGGGTCAGTTTAAGCAGTTATTGTAGCTATATGTTTTAACTATGTGAATGCATACATTTACATAATTCTTCATTTTGTAGCAATTAAGTTGTACTGTATTAATTTCATTAAGTGCTGCCTTAGTATTTAGCTTTTTACTTACTGATTTCTGAACAGCTTCAGTTTCATTTAAACATTTTTGGCAAAACCCTTCCCAAAGAGCAGATATAAGTTGCTCCGGAGTCTGCCTTTGCTGGCTATTGCCATAGTTTCTACATACTCCAATTAGTAATGAATTCTCTTCACCTGGCAGAAATAATACAAAAATGCTGTCCTGCCTCCATTTGCATTTTATAGTGTAAAGCAATTAATGCGTTTAAAGCACATGTCCAGATTGCTGCCGGGTGTGTTGAGTATGTAGAGAAACTGGATTGCAGATTATCGGAATAGGTAGCTGTAAAATAAATAGCATACAAAAAACAGCTGCGAAGGTGGAGGAAAGGGCTGATTTACTGTCATACAGGAGCTCAGCAGCAAGGGTAGCTTTTGATGGCCTTGTTCTCTGGTTTTGTTTTGCGTTTTTGCAGTCTCATGCTTCATTTGTATTTCAGTTTCTTTAAGTCTCTAATCCAGTAGGACATTAAGGGTAGAGCAGTCCTTCCCTTGTTCTTCGCCCCTCATTTTTAGAGGGTGCCTATCTCAAGAGTATAGAATGTGAGATGTTAAGTACAGACCATTTAACACAGGTGCACAAAGCACTTGTCTTAATTGTATTGTTTCCTAATTTCTGTGCAGCATTAATCCTCTACGTGTTGTTAAAGCTAGTGCAAGCATAGCAGTGTGGTATCAGTTCTTACTGCTCCCGTGTGGGTGATCTGCTGGGTTGAACCTTTGCCTTTTAAACCAGTGTAGTAATGACGATGGCAGTAGGAAGTGGAGTAGCACTGGAGAAGATGGACGTTTTGCCAGTGAGTCCATCGTTGTGAGAGGAGCAAATGCACTTGGAATACACTCAGAGAATCCAGACTTAACTCAGCTTTTGGAGATACTAAGGCCAAGTATCTCCAAAAGCTGAGCCAAGAGATGAGCCAAGTTCTGAATTTCTTTGCTTGGCTGTTCTTTGGCGCTTTCCTCCCGTGTTTAAAATATTTTTGTCTGTCCTGGACCTACTCCCCCTTTGCTGGAACCTTTAATTCAGATTGTACACTATCCATCTCCATGCTGTTCACATGACAGGAAGTTTGCATGAAGGAGTGCTATTTAAAATGTGTAGTTTAGATCACTTAGGGGATGTTCAGTTTCTTTATGGGAATGATGTACGCACAGTCTACTCATACCTCAGGTGGTAGAGGATGGGTTTTCTGAAAAAAATCATTTTTTCATATATTCGGTCTCCTCATTAGCTGTCAGTGACTTTCTTAGCTTTTCCATCATTCAGACCATATATTAAGGGCATGATTAAATGGATTTGTTTGTAGATAAGGGCTTGTTCCTAAGCAACAAAACATATTTTAAAAATAAAATAGAGTGTCTTCAACATATGAGGACAGCTGGAGTGATTCGTAAAAAAGGAGTCTTAACTTTTTTAAGAAGTGTTAGGCACAAAACATTTTTTTTCCTTATCGCTCAACTGGTTCAGGTTAAAATGGTATCTTATTCTGCTTGAGGCAGGCATCCAGAGTTAGAGTATTAAGCTTGACGAGTTAGAGCAGATCACAAAAGTTGTCTCTGACTTGGGATGTAAAATGTGGGAACCCTTTATGTAAATTAGTTTATTCGGTCCACTTGGAAACATCTGTATATTGTACTTTGCTCTTCTCAGAGCATCTAGTGGAATGGGAAAGTGTAGCAATAATTACCAGTGACAGGATATAGTGGTTTAGAGAAAAGTTGTTTGTACCTGGAACTGCCCAGTGAAGTTGCACTGCAGTGACTGTCCTTGAATGGTGTCCTGGGAAATAAACTAGACAGTCTTAAAACTAGAAAAACTGCTGGAGAGTTACAGTTGAGTAAGGTACGAATTTATTGTTCCACAAATCCCAAATATGTGGCTTTAGCTTTTGTGGCCTTGTTAGCTACAGAAACAGAGAAATCCAAGCTACTCCTTTGTGATGCTTCCAGTTGTTGCTAATAGTCTTGTCTTTTGATGATTGCGTCCTTTATGATAATCTTTTAAATACAGCACCCTATGCTAAAGCAGCAAGGCTTTTCACAGCTTTGAAGTGCTACATGATGCTGTGTTACCATCTTACCATCTATCCTGGGTCATGACTCTTGTTCTTTGTGATCCCTTGGCATCTCTGGCAGCATCAGGTGTCAGTTGCAACACTTAGTTTTCTGGAAAGTAACATTAGGAAGGCATTACTCCATTTTCATTACTTTTTGTGTCGTTGAGGAATTGGAGATTTGGGCAGATAGCAGCATTAATCAGGGCCTTTGCAGTAGCAGTCTTTGAAAGACAACATGTATGAGGTGGTTTAATTTTTCTGGGTTTTTTTGTTGTTGTGGTGAGATTTTTTTTGTTTGTTTGTGGTTTTAAAATTTTTTAAAAATATTTTTAAAGATAATGTTTGATAATCACACTGTCTGTGATAGTTTGGTTTTAGTTGGTATTCAGTTGTTGTCATCTGGCAGTTTCTAATCTAAGGGTGGGATTTGGTTTTGGATTTTTTTTTCTTCTGTTTCCCTAAAAGCTACAGATTGCGATCTGCTGTTACAGATGAAAGTAGTAGCCACATTTGACTTACAGTACTTCTGATGTTGCACAAAAGCAGTTTAAAACTTCATTAGATTTAGTAAAATTTAGATTTTAGTCACTGGGATTGTTACCACTGTGTTGTATTATTCACAGTCTTAAGTCTGTTTTTGTCTTGAGACTTTTGTTGGTTTTGTTTTGTTTTTTTCCAAATTGTTATTGTTAAAGTTTCTGCAAAGAGTGCCTTGTTAAGGATATATCTTCCTGATGATTTTCAGTTTCGAATGGTTTTAGTGGTTGGGGGATTTTTTCTGTTCAGTCAACTGTTAATGTACAATGCCTTTACTCAAATATTGATAGGGATGTAAACTGCTGTCTTCTCATCCAAATGTTGGAATGAGCATTTTAAGATAATTGAATTGTGTAGAATAGCAAACACAATTTTTTTCCAGTTGATTGCCAGTTAAAAGCCTTCAATAACCTATAAGGAGCATGGAACATTTCTTATATAAGTGCATATAGAGCAGATAGCTGAAAATAATGTACTAATATAAGTGTACAGCAGGATGGAGCCCCATGAGGTAGAAGAAAAGGACATGCTTTTATGTGTGTCTGTGACTTCTTAGGGTTTGTGACAGAGGTAATCTACCAGTTTTGTCTTGTAACATTAGACTGTCATGGCTGCAATATTGCTATAGTAATATTGCTATTACTATTGTAATATTGGTTGATTAACCTTTTATTAGATATTCATTATATATCAGTGTAGAAAATTTATTTCTGTTTCATAATCCTCTGAAGTAACTTTTGCTGCAGCTTCAAATTAAAGAGATTCAACCTGTGTCCTATCTGTAACATTGTAAATATATGTAGTTCATCTCCAATTGTTCTGGTAGGTATTTCAAACTCTTAGACATAAATGATGTCAGGATTTCTGATATTTTGGATTTTATTCAGAAAGTGTTCAGATAGCCTTATATATGGAGATTTTTCTAGTCTGTGAAAATAAGAGATCCTAGTTGCTTTCAAAAGGTGTTTCAAAGGTATTAATGCAAGCACTTAAATGCCATATTCACATCAGTTTTCATGACAGTACAGTGGTTCTGAGCTTTTTCTTACACTCTTGTCTTCATTATAGCTCTGATTTCATTTAAACACCGCCTTTTCCTGTGAGATAACACAATGATTTGAAGGGAAAGCTGTGAATATGCTTCACTCAGTTTGGAGCCTGTGCTTCTCATTTTAAAGAGGGAACATTCAGCCTTAGTGTCATTGATACAGTCAGGACTCTGTGTGTTAGCTGATCATAATGATCTGGTCTTCATTAATGCAGAGAGCTGAGACAGTCACATCCCTTGCTGTGTGAAGAGCAGCAGACCTGTGCATAAGCTGTTATTTCAAATGGGCTTTCTTACCTTGTGCTGTACCTCTCATTTGTTTTTAAAGAATGTGATTGTATTGAGATAAATGTTGTAGTTTTCTCTCTGGCACAGTGAGGGATATCTATATATTATAAATAACTTCTCATTTAATATTGTAAAATTCTTTCTCAAATAAATGTGCCTTTAGCCAAATTATGTTTTGTTCTGGTGAGAAACATGAAATTCAACAAGAGTATGATAATCATTGACATTGAATTGTAAGGCCCATGTGAAACACTGACCATTGCATCGCAAATGTGATCTCATCCTGACTTGGCTTGCCCTTGTCTTCCTTCTTGTGTAGTTGCTGACTTGTCAGTGATGCAGATCACATTGTCTTTGCCTTTGTTTGATTTGATGAAGAAGTATTCTCCTTACAGTTAGGTGAATGTTTGAGCAAACCAAATGCTCAGTAAAAGTAGTTTTTGATAATTCACTGTCATGTAAATTCATGCTTCTGCTGAAAATAGTGAGTGAAGTCTTGTAAGGAATTGCTGTGTAAGATATCTTTTCTGTAGATTGTTTTAAGTAAATTTCTGCATTCCTAGGGATTGTAACTTGTAGAAGATCATGTCACAAGTCACTTGTGGCATTCTGGTGGTAAAAATATCTTTGTTCTGTCTCTATTCAAGAAGCTGAACTAAGAATGGATAGAGATAAACAACAGTTGGTCTTCAATTCTGAATTAACTGCTATTT